CTTAATGTCCTCCAGCAGTTTTTTTATTTTTTTTTTATTTTTATATTGGGATGCTCCCGTATTGGGTGCATATATATTTACCAGGGTTATTTCTTCTTGCTCCCTTTAGTATTATGAAGTGGCCTTCATTATCTCTTCTTATGTCCTTCACTCTGAGATCTAATTTGTCAGATATGAGTATTGCTACCCTAGCTTTTTTTTGCATTTCCATTCCCCTGGAAAGCCTTTTTCCATCCCATCACCCTCAGTCTGTGTGCATCTTTTTTTCTGAGGTGGGTTTCTTGTAGACAACAGATATATGGGTTTTGTTTTCTTATCCAATCCATTACCCTATGTCTTTTGATTGGAGCATTTAGTCCATTTACATTTAAAGTTATTATTGATAGACACTTATTTGACGCCATTTTTATTTTATACCCCTGTGTTCCTTCTTTGCTTTCTATTTCTTTAATTTTACAGTAGACCCTTTAGCATTTCTTGCATTGCTGGTTTGGTGGAGATAAATTCCCTTAGTCTGTTTTTTTCTGTGAAGTTCCTGATTTCACCTTCACTTTTGATTGATAGCCTTGCTGGGTACAGTAGTCTTGGATTCAGACCCTTCCTTTGCATGACTTTGTATATTTCATCCCATTCCCTTCTGGCCTGATACTTTTCTGTGGAGAAATCATTTGCTAGTCTGAAAATTACATATAAAGGAACTTTATATGTAAAGTTCCTTTACATATAAAGGAACTTTACATATAAAGGAACTTTATATGTAACTTTCTGTCTCTCTCTGGCTGCTTTTAAAATTCTTTTGTTGTCGTTGGTGTTTGCCAGCTTAATTATAATATGCCTAGGGGTCGGTTTTCTGGTGTTCATTTTGCTTGGGACTCTGCTAGCATCTTGGATTTGTGTGGGTTTTTTCTTCTCTATCTCAGGAAAGTTTTCTGTCATTATTTCTTGAAATACGTTTTCCATGTCTTCCTCAATTCCCTTTCTTTCTGGAACCCCTATTATTCTAATATTGTTTTGTTTTGTATTGTCCCAAAGTTCCCTTAGACTTTTCTCCTGTTTTTTAATTTTTTTTCCAGAAGCTGTTCTAATTGGGTATTTTTTTCCATCTTGTCTTCTAGCTCGCTGATACAGTCCTCTGCTTCTTCTAATCTACTCTTGATGCTTTCTATTAAGTTCTTTACAGTAGCAATGTCTTTTTTCATTTCTTCTTGGTTCTTCTTCATTTCCTTTTGGTTCTTATTTATGTTGTCAAATTTGTCTTCCATTCTATTTAGCCATCTTATGATCATTACTCTGAATTCTTGCTCTGGTAGGTTGCTTGGCTCTATCTCGTTTACTTGCTTGTCTGGTGAAGCCTGCTTTTCTTTCATATGCGGGCTGTTTTTTTTGTCTCCCCATGATCTCTCTTTTCAGAATGTCTGGTTGTGTAGTTCTCTCTCTCCTGCTTTGATTTAAAGGTACAAAATACAACACAACCTGGTACAACACACAAGGCACTGAATAGAAATGCGTTTGCGATATTAATAAACACCAATAAAGGTGACTAGAACCCAGCTAACAAAAACATACAATCAAACAAAAAGAATAGGCAAATCAATCTTATAAAAAAAAGCATACAATTTCAGTATAGATTACATTCAATATAAAACTTCAAAGAGTTAGAAAGACTGTTTTTTGTTTTGTTTTGTTTTGTTTTGTTTTTAGGACAACTGTGAGGGAGGTGTGAATGGGCTTGGAGCAGGGAGTTGGAAATTAGATATATACAAGTAGGGTGAAATTTTAGGAGGGGATAGACAGAAGGAATGGGGAAAATATAGAGCAGAAAAGGGTTAAGATAAACGGGGTACCAAAGGAAAAGGTCGGAAAGAGAGTGAAGGCATAAAGGTTGGGTTGAGGTAGAATAAAGCGTTGGAGAAGGAAAGATAGATAAATACTGTACAACAGTAATCCTGATATATATATATATATATATATATATATATATATATATATATATATATAATAAAAATAATAAAATAAACAAAAGAAAATAAGATGAAAAAGGTAAATTAGTAGTAACAATAATGTTGATTATGTATACAATGTAATAATTATAAAGATAAAATCCAGTGAGGAAAAAGAAAAAAATAGTTTCTTGAGTAAACGTTGCAAATAATGAAAACAAAAATAAAAAACAAAAATTTAAAAATTAAAAAAATAAAATTTAAAAAATTTAAATAAAATTTGCAGTAATGAAAGTCATTCGCTTCCTCTATTGTTAAGATCCAATCCTGATTTTTAGGCAAGTTTTGCTTTGTTTTTATTACACTAGAGTCAATTTGTGAATTAGCCTCTTGGGGCAGTATTTCTAGGTTGACTTTCCAGACTCTATAGCCTCTCCAGCTTTTTTTTCTTTTTCTTTTTTCTGTCCTCTCTGCAGCAGGAACTATGGAAGGGGGGAGGGGGCAAGTCCGAGCAACTGCAATCTCCCCCAACTCTCCGCTACCCCTACGCACCAGATCCAATTGTGTTGCTGTTAGGAGCCCCGTCCACTTTCACGGGTGACACCTGCCCAACAGCTGGGGCTTCTAGTTGTAATCACCGCCCTGGTCCTCCAGCTTCCGCGTGCTCTGTGCGTGCAAGCTTTTGTCTTCGCCGCAAGCACTCTCCACCCTGTCCCCGCGAAATCTGACCTTTTCGCCGAGCAGTGGGTCACTCCTACGAGGCCAGGTGTTTGCGCCGCCTGGGATCTGCGTTCTGGGGGTCACAGCTGCTTGTCGGTCGCTGCGACTGTGGATATTCAGGCCTCTGACATGATCCTATCTTCCTCTCAAGATGGTGAGGTTTCCCTGTCCATGCCTGTAGGTAGCTCCGGGCAGGGACGTAGCCCGCGTGGGTGCTTCCCTGTGACGGGCACCTCTGTCAGCAGCCCCCCAGCAGTTTCTTCTGGTGTTCGCTGTCTCCCAGCTTGCTAATAAACACTCACAGCTCAAGACCATCAGCTGTTCTCTCTTTCTGCTTCGGGACAGGGCTCAGAATCCACCCATCTATTCTTCCGCCATCTTACCTCTTCCCCTGTAATAAACCTTTTAGAAAGAGTGATACCCATTGACTTTATTGACAGGTGTATATTATATGACCTCATTGGTACCTAACATGTTTAATTTTGCTTGTTATTTTAGAGACATTAAACAGACACATTAACTAAAAAAGAGAAAAAAGAACCAAAACTTTAAAAAAATATATATATATTTTATTGATTTTTTACAGAGAAAAAGAGAGAGGGATAGAGAGTTAGAAACATCGATGAGAGAGTATCATCGATCAGCTGCCTCTTGCACATCCCCCACTGGGGTTGTGCCTGCAACCAAGGTACATGCCCTTGACCAGAATCTAATCTGGGACCTTTCAGTCTGCAGGCCAGTGCTCTATCCACTGAGCCAAACCGGTTTTGGCAAGAACCAAAACTTTCAATGTCAAGGTCTTGTTGAAAGATTGTAGGGTTTTATATACATTCCAGATTTGATAGCTTTCTCTGTTAATTTTCCTCTGTATTTACTTTTAGTCCTTAAATAACTATTGTATCTCAACTCCTACCCTTCAGATTCCTGGTCAAAGCACATTACTCATATTGTGGGTTTGATCTTTGTTTGGGTGCATATTGGAGGCAATCTATGGATGTTTTTCTCCCACATTGATGTTTCTCTCTCACTCTCCCCCTCCCTCCCTCCCCCTCTCCCTCTCTCTCTCTCTCTCTCTCTCTCTCTCTCTCTCTCTCTCTCTCTCTCTCTCTCTCTCTCTCTCCCCTAAAATCTATTAAAACATACACACACACACATCCTTTGCTGAGTATTAAAAAAATGATTAACATTATTAAGGTTTAAGCTCATGAAATGGTAGGAAGGAGTGCAGATGATGCTATTATTTTGAAATATAAGTCATACTTTATATTATGTCTTAAATCATTTCAAAATCTCCAGGACTTTACTTGGGCATTAGAATAGAGACAGTATCTCCTTTTCCCTTGATTCCATTTCATTGGCTCCCCATTTCTTGTGTGTATTTTTTAATACTTTCCCAAAGATATTTTTACATTGATTTTTAGAGAGAATGGAAGAGAAAGAGAAAGACAGAGAGATATATCAATATGAGAGAAAGACATCCATTTGTTACCTCCTGCATGAGCCCAAACCAGGGCCCGGGCCAGGGAGGAGCCTGCAACCAAAGTTCATATCCTTGCCTGGAATTGAACCGGAGACCCTTTAGTCTACAGGCCTATACTCTATCCACTGAGCAAACTGTCCAGGGCAAGCACCCCGTTTTTTTAAAGTGAGAGCTCTTAACAAGGAGAGTACATGAGAACTGCTTTTAAAATATGCATATATTTGGAACCCATAATATAAACTTGACTTTTTCGTAGGAGTGGAAAGTGTATTTGACAATTTTTTTCATTATTTTAGATGCCTCTGCATTATGTTCCAGCCAAATTTTCTCATCCTATCTCATGCCATTTCCTCCACTCATCTTCTGTTCTTCTCTAGCCATGCTAAACATAGGTCTTTTATAAATAGTTTTATTCTACATCTCTGTGCTTTTGCACATGTTGTTCCTACTCTCCTGTTTTCTCCATTCTAAGTCCTAAATCTATCAAACAAATACTTATCTTTCTAGACTCTCCTCTAATGACATGTCTTTCCTTATTTTCCCATGTTGAAATACACACTCTGCATTTAGCATATATATTTGATTACTTTTTTTGGTGTCCATTTCTCCCATTAAATTCATGTAATTTATTTTGTTCATATTTATGTTAAATAACTATGGATTAGTAAATGGAAAGCCTGTTAGGAATTGAAATGTATAGCTTTTTATGATAATTATTTTTAGGGTTCTTATTAAATAGAGGTTCATGATCAACCCCCAGCACCTAGGTAGATACTGTATATAATTTTATTTTTCATAATATATGGTACTATTAAATCATATATATTTATTTCTTTTTCTTTACCCCCTTGTGTTTACAGGCGAAATCTCACAAAACTGTCCCTTATCTTCAGTCATATGCTGGCAGAAATCAAAGCAATCTTTCCCAATGGGCAATTTCAGGGAGATAATTTTCGTATCACGAAAGCAGATGCTGCCGAGTTCTGGAGAAAGTTTTTTGGAGACAAGTAAGTGAAAATCATTTTCTAGTTGGATTCCATCTTTGACGAATGACCTAGTTCTTTCTCCATTTCCATATGGTATAGATTTTAGTATTTTGAGAATGTACTTTAGTGTTTTTGATAAGTATTTTGATTGCTAATTTTTCTGCTCAGTGACCACAAGTATACCTCAATAACTGAATAGTTTTATGTTAATACAGAGAAAATATCAGTTATACAGCATTTATTTCAAGATCATTCATAGAGTTAGTTTGCTCTAAGAAGAAGGCATATGTAAAACAGTTTCTGTACATGAGATGCTCATAATATTTTATAATTTAGTAAACACACAGGACACATGTACAAAATAAGAGGCAAAAAAGATAGATAACTATGAAGATGGTGGTATTAATTGCTCTGACACTTTAGCATGGAGCAGTTGCTTCAGAATTTCATAAGTCGGATGGCTTCCTAAAGGAGGTAGTGGTTACGCTTGGTTAAGACCTTAAATTCAGGGGGGCGGAAGCCTTAGAACCTTGATTCAAGCTTTCTTTGTATCATTGCACAGAAAGGATGTATGTGTAGTAAACAAGGAATATATATAAGGGTACTATTAGCTCAAAGTTGCATATATCATAAAATGGCCCGGTAAAGACTTTTCCTTTATGTACTTCCTGCTCAGAATCAGGTGAGTGTGGTAAAATAATAGGAGTTATATGTTTGAAACCAGCATAACTTAAAACTTACAAAATTTAAAAAAGAATTTGTTGGAAATTCCCAGTAGGTTGATCGGAACATCAGGAGGCACATGTTTTCTTCTGTAGCCTTTGAAGGGTCCCTTAGATCAGAGTGCACATCAAAATGTCCTTGAATATAGACAGAACCCCAGCTGAGTATTGAGGAGGAAGAGAATGCTTACACATGGATTATTATTTTCATCCTATAATTAAAGGCCTATGTTTATACATTAACTGCGAAATGAGGCATATAAAATGTTGGTATATGCTTTTGGTGGTCTTAGTTCTCTGATGCTGGTGAATTAACTGTACTATTGTCTTTTTTTTGTTTTGTTTTGTTTTCTTTAGGAAGTGCTATGTTTATAGTTGCCACCATGATTAGAATATATTTACATAAAGCAAAGCACATTTTATTACATACATAATTTGGGGGCTTTGAGATTGTGAAAGCCTTTTTCCCCGTTTCTTAAATACAATATGTTTTGCATTATTTTTTAGGCATTAATGGAGGAAATGCCATTATTGCCATTACTAGGGGCATTTTATATTCCAGATAGCTAGTTATTTGCAATGCTCTGGTATCCAGTCACAAACGAGGAATTAAAAATGAAATGAGAATAACAGCAGGAGTGTATTAATTACAAGTTTGTGAATAGTAGAAAAGAGAAAGTTGTTGATGAGTTCTGAGAAAAAGAACTGAGAGAATTTCTGGAAGTCATGGTTCAAATGTCAACACTGAGCCTAATGCAAATTGTTGGTCACCTTCAAAATAATTCTCACCTTAACATTTTAAGAAAATCTATAGGACAAATTGTGGTATTTCTTTTTGAAAACTGAAAATTTTAGTGAGTCATGAAATTACTTGTTGAAAGGTCAGTAAAAACTGGAAAGATTGCTCACACATTTTTTAAGAGAGGAGTTTGTTTTGTTGGCACCTTAAACCACAGAGCATTATGCAGTTGAGACATCTTTATTTCCCTTTATTTATAGCCATAGACATCGATGAGCTGAAGTTTCTGTTCAACTGCTACATGAGTGAAAGTGCTACTAAATCAAACGGGATTCTTGAAATAACGATTAAATACTTTCTCTACCTCCCAAATCCTTGCACTTACATCTCCTGTCTTCACTTATTTAAGAAGTTGCTTAGTTTTTCTTTAACATTTTTACTTTTGGGATGAGGGCCAAATTTAAAACTCCTTCTGGAATTCAGATGTAGTTCTGTAGTCATCAAAATTAATGATTCTTTTAATAGATCATTGGAGAAACCATCTTAATATTCTCTATGGGTTTTCAGCTTGTCGTTCCACAATATTTTATTTAATGCAAGTGAACAAATGAATGAATGATATAGTCTTTTAAAAGGTTGAATTCGTTTATCTTTCTTATGCTCTGATACTAGTTTGCATTTCACATAACTTAGTTCTTGCATGGAAGCATTCCTATCATTTATCATTTATCATTTATCATTTATCCAGCTTTCCATTGAGGTCACATGAGAATTCTTTTATTTGCCCTAAATAGCACCTTTGAACTTAAAGCAGCATTTTTGCCCAATACAGAACCATTGAGGGCTTAGTTCCAAAAATCAGCCAAACAGATTATGATTTTTATAAAGCAGCTTTTAGCTTGAGGAGTATTTTTTGAGTTTTTACTCCAAAAAGAACTATCAGTAAGAACAAATTAAAATTGAATTAAAATTAGGAAAAGGCTATTTTTCAAAGGACATTATAAAACTTCTATAGGCAATTTTAGGATTCAGACTTTATAAAAATAGGCAGCAGACATAAAATCTTTAGGTGTCATATGCCTAATGCTTACTTTCTCTGCTTCTCAATCTTTTTGAAGTTATGGTACGGTTCATCTCCCTGCTCAGGACCCAAGCTCAGCTGTGAAGAGACCCGCCTGCTTGAGGTCCTGAGGGGATCAGTAGAACATGTTTTGTCAGGGTAAACTGGTTGGGGAGTTCTGTATTTGTTAGACTCTTATGCAAATGGATTGAATGTTTTCATATTTGAGTTCTGCTTTTGCTTACTTAGTTGTTCGTTGATCAGGAGATAGTAGAAATATGTTGGAAAACAGAAGTGACATTACTAAATAAATTAGAGGCCTGTTGTACAACATTCATGCACTCAGGGGTGTCCCTCAACCAGACCTACGCCCTCTTGCAGTCTGGAGCCTTTGGGGGATGTCCCACTGATGGCTTTGGCCCGCTTCCCATGGGGAGCAGGCCTAAGCCATCAGTGGGACATCCTTAGTGCTACTGAGGAGAGGAGGTGGAAGAGGCTCCTGCCACTGCACTTGCCAGCCATGAACTTGGCTCAGGGCTTCTGGCTGAGCAGCACTCCCCCTGTAGGAGTGCACTATCCAACAGGGGCAGATCCTGTGTTGGGCATCTGCCCCCATAGTGGTCAGTGCATTTTAGAGCCACTGGTCATTCCACCATTTGGTCAATTTGCATATTACCCTTTTATTATATAGTATGTGTCTAAGTAAATTCTGCAAAATTAGGCCAATACAAAACTGAATATTTGTGCTGTGGATTTGTAATTTGTAATCTAGAAACTTTAGGCACGAAGTTTCAAAAAAATGTGTTACTAGCTTTAAAAGGAAGGACACATTAATATATTAGACTCTGGGTGACATCAATTTTCTAAGCAGGTCAGATAGCAGTTACTTGGCTACTCCTACTAAGTACTTTGGACATTGAGGACATTCAGACATGAATTCCTAACCAAATTATAATTTAACAAGAACCTTGGATTCTAACTCCTGAATATTTTTATATATCTTCCTTTTCCCATCTTTGCTTCAAGTTCTGTTCTTAAATTTCAAATTCACATTCTCTTCTGGCTTTGTGATGGGCCTTCCTGTCTTCAATAACAACCTACCCAGTTGTTTCTCTTAGTGAGACCAATACCTTTCTACAAAATAGAACTAATCATTCTAATTTTGTTTTCCTGAAGTACCTCTACAAATCCTTATTGATTCTGGGTTAAAGTCTAAAATCCCATGAACATGATAAGCTTTAGGAACTATTTTTTCCAACTTCAGCTTGTTGTACCCAGCTCATCCTCAAAGAAATAAACTATCCAGCACTCTACACTTATTTCCTAATTAGTGGCTCGATGCACGAAATTTGTGCACTGGGGAGGGGGGACAGTGTTCCTCAGCCTGGCCTTGAACCCTCTCCAATATGGGACCCCTCGAAGGATGTCTTACTGCTTGTTTACAGGGATCAGGCCTAAATCGGCAGTCGGACATCTCTCTCACAATCTGGGACTGCTGGCTCCAGCTGCTCACCTACCTGCCTGCCTGCCTGATTGCCTCTAACCACTCTGCCTGCTGGCTTCTTGCTCCCAACTGCCCCCTCACTGCTGGCCTGCTCACCCCCAAATGCCCTCCCCGCTGTCCTGCTCACTCCAAACTGCCCCGCCCTGCTGTCCTGTTCATCTCCAACTGACCCCTACTGAAGGCCTGCTCACCTCTATGGCCACCTGCTGGTCTGCTTACTCACAATGGCCCCACCTCCCACCAGCCTGATCTTCCACAACTGCCTTCCCATCCTGGTCTGGTCACCCCCCAGCGACCCAAGCTTCCAATCCCTCCCTTTTTATTTCTTCTTCAGCACATCCTTGAGCCGAGGCCAGGGCCAGCTGTAAGCATGTATCTGGGGTTTATTTATCATCTATAATTGAAACTTTGTAGCCTTGAGCAGAGGCCAGGGCCAGCCAGGGTGGGCAGGAAGCTTGGCTTCCTCCATCACCTGGGCAGCCCAAGCCTCCTGCTTATTCCAGTTCCATGGTTGCTGCCATCTTGTTTGGGTTAATTTGTATACTCTCTCCTGATTGGCTGATGGGCATGGCTTGTGGGCATAGTAGAGGTATAGTCAGTTTGCATGTTTCTCTTTTATTAATGTAGATGTATGTCTTCTCCCCCCGACCCTGCCTCTTCCCATCCCCCCACCTAATTGTGTTTGTTTTTCCTTTTTGCATTTAGTGGGTCGGAAACCAGTTTCCCATGATTTACCCATTGTTGCCACTTTGAAAGCTTTCCTTGACTATACTGATCTAAGGTGAACATACTTGCTCTATGCTTCCAGATACCTGTGCTCACATCTGTCATATTAGACCACAGTGAACTTCTGATATGTTTGCATTTCCCCATAGACTAGGAGGGTTCCTTGAAGACAGGAACGATGCCTTACTCATTGTATTTCTCAGAGCTTGGCACATATCCTGGTATGTGTAGGCACTAATAAATATTACCAGACTATATAAATAATTGAAT